AACAGAAGTTTTTTCTAATAACAAAACACTCATACCTGATTCCACTGAATTAAGAGGTTAATAAAAGATTCAAATTTAAAAATCTGAAAATAAGGAATAAAGGTCGGGATATGTATAAATTTTTTTTTTTACTAATTAATTTTTTCTCGAGTAAATAGAATTGTATTCTTTAAAAAATGTGAAGTTTTTGAATTAAACTGAATAAAGATTTAAAAAACAAAGATAACGACAAAGAGTGATTTAGTAGTTATAAATCAATGAATAAGAAATCTTGACCATTGATTTAAAGTAACAAATCCTGTCCATTGAAAATATAATTCTTTTTTGTATTTATTATATTCACCGATTTACCATTAAAGGAAACTTTTTTAAAATTTGTCGTGTGAACACAATGGTGAAATTGAACCACAGTGCGACACGTCAGCAAGGTTTCCACAGAATGAAATTCCTTTATAATATAAGATTAGATTAATGGATATTCTAATTGTATTATTTTGATAAGTCTGTTGTTATTATGTTGAATTGGACTTTTGGCATATGTTGGTATTGGGCCTAGTTGGGTAGTAGTGTAGGCTTTAGTGTGACATTGATTTTTCGTGATGGGTGGACCCAGTGGATACAAACTCTTTTCAGGGTATTTGGCTAGGTTCCCTCTCTAGCCTATATATATTGGGATTAAGTCTCATGAGCAGTAATGCTCCCATCGCCTGAGGCTGTCACTTTTGGAATAGGTTATAGAGAGGAAGACTCTAGCCGTGAGATCAAGGTTCTTCGCTCAATAGATAAGATGGCTCAAGGTACACAAATTCCTCTCTGAATAAAAATTGATATGTGGTATTTTATGTATCATACATGTATCGATCTTCGTATTTATTATTATGTGAAAAATTCTTAGATTTGATATCAGAGCAAGGCATGTATGATTATAAGCCCACAATTTATCGTGATTTATATTTATTTATTTTTTATCGGTTATTGAATAAATTGTCTCTGTTCCGTCTCAATCCGTATTGCATACTTCGAATATTACATACAGTTGCAATCAATTTTTACATGCTATCTCGATTTTAGCGATTGGCGTTGTTGCAGTGCATATATATATTTGAATTGCCAAATATGTCATCTTGATTAACGTGAATTGGTTATATACATATTTTGATATCAATTTACATACATGCTATCTCGATTTTACCGATTGGTTATATACATATTTTGATATCAATTTAATCACATGTTGTCTCGATTTTAGCGATTGGTTATATACATATTTGAATTACCAAAGCGTTCTTGTTGCACGGTTAATATATGCCTCCTGGATTGTCGTGAACTGCTTTGAACAAATTTTGTTATATGTATGCCTTGTTACACATTCTAATCTTTTCTTGATTTTCGTGACTGAATTTTTACAATTTTGTTCTTTGTTTCACAATAAATTGCCTCGGCATTTTGCATTCTTTGGGATCAGTCAGATTAGAATCACTATTGGGTGAAATTTTGATTTTCGGTTTGTTCCTTTTCGATTTCACAGTTAAGATTGTTGTTACCAAAATAAAATAAAAAATCCCATGTTTAAAAGGAATATTACTTTTCGTCACTTTTAAAAGATCTTTAAAAAGGTGTGTTAATTTGATTGTTTAAAACAAATAATTACTGTGCCAATAATTTTGTCTTGTTATTTTTTGGTGATCTCGTGAAATATGCCAATCAGATTTTGCGTTACTTGATTTGTTTTATTATTTGATTTGTTTCTACAAAACAACAAACTTCATATTAGAAAATGGAATATTCATATATGATTAGAAAAAATTTGTATTTCATATTGCACAATTTTAATAATTGTAGTTCACAATGAGTGAAATTCTTATAAACACATGTCGAAGAAGTGTTTCATATTGTTTGGATATGCTTGGTTTATGAGCTATATATATATATATATATATATATATATATATATATATATATATATATAAATATAGAATAAAACATAGTAATTATAAAAAAATTACTATATATTGAGCCGAAAAAATTATAAAAAAACATATATATATATATATATATATATATATGTGTGTGTGCGAATATTGAGAATCTAAATTACTGAAAAAATTATTTCAATTTTATTTGGTGTCATAACACCATTCATGGTTTGAATTTAGATTCACAATTCTTGTTTGGTGAATTGTTTTGTTTCAACAAAATTGTTTTGTAAACATGAAATTTTAGTTTCAATGAATTTGCTGACACCATGGCGTGTGTTGCTTTTCTTTTTTGTGGAAATTCTCATTTTTTGAAAGTTTTAATTTTTGAGAAACAATTATTAAAGTTTTGTGCATTTATTTACTGTTGCACGAATTTGGATGGCTTTATTAGAGAATTAATTTCTGATTTCACTTTATTGAGTGCATTACTGTTATATTATTATTGTCATTGTACAATTATGAGTTGGTTTCATTGTTTACACACTTACTACTGTTGTGTCGGCAACTGAGCATGGACTTAGTGTTCCGATATTTTGGACTTCATTTTGGGATATTAGCAATTTTTAGTGTGAATTGGTTCCACTTTTGGTTTCACTTATAATTTTAAATTTTTTTTGATATTGTGAATAACAATATTTCATGGCTTTATTCACCTTAGTATGAATACTTATATTTTTTTGAACCCCACGGATGAGTTAGTATTAACATTTATTACTTATTAGTATGTGGGTAGGTCCCAGGATTTATAAATTCGACTGCGCATATTTTGTGGAATACACTTTCAGAATGGTGTGTTTTTAGAATTCTGGTGAATTATTTTATTCAATGCTAACGTGAATTATTTTCTTGGTTATTTCGTCTATGTTTACTGTTTCAACTAGCACGAAGTTAGTTGTTATTGTTTTCGAAAAATCAATGGCGTTATTGGCAGGATTTATGAGTTTGTTTTGACTGATTTCCATTTCTGAAATATTTTGGATTGTTAGCATGAATTATGGTATTCCGATTTGCATATTACTATTTAGAGATTCTTGAAATTAATTAAGACTTTTAATTACAGTTTCACATTTGAATTTTAGTGAAACACTTGGTGTTGTGAAATCAATGAATTATTGTTGTTCCAATATTTAATTAATAAACATGAATTGATCATTTTGGTTTTTTTTTTTCTGGGAACTATGCAACCTTTGACTTTTGGATTATTTCAGTATTGTGGAACATTACTGGTTTATGTTTTAATATCTCTCATTTGGGATTGTGTAAATTGAATTTTGATTCACATTTGTGTTGATATTATACTATAAATTGGACTTCCATATTAGTAGACCCTTGTGTCATTTGGTTTTGACTCTAGTGAAATAAGTGAAAACTGTTTGAATTTTTGCATAGTTTTGTGAAATAGGTTCACAAGGGTATATCTCATAATTAATAAACTTTGTCCTTTTTGGGAGATTTTAGTGAATTTTCACATTTCACATTTTGGATTTAGTGAAATTGGTTTCATACTTTATTTGCTATATGGTTCTTCAATATTTTATTTAATTGGCGCATTTATGACTTATTCACCGTCAATGGTTTTTGGCAGTGCAAAAATGTTGTTGCCATGTTTTTAGTCTCATTAATTGCAGTGTATTGCATTGTGACTTGTGATTGACAATAGAATAAATGCAATTGATCATATTTTGCATAGAGATTTTTGATTGTAGCTTAATATATAAAAATTAATATTTACTCCATTTGGTGGTGTCATTGAATTATTTTATTGAATAAAAGGGAGTAAAACTACTATAAAAATTGGCATTAATTGCATGTGGCAAAAGGAAGTAAATGGGTATAACGGATTCTGAACCCATGACTGAAGGTTAATATTTATACATCGAGTGAATTAAATTAGACAAGTTTTTATGTCATGTATTATAATGATTCGATTGTATGTATTAATTAAAGTTTCCTTATACATACAATATTGAGATGAATAATTTGGTATTTTTGCCTATGATTTGAGGCAATAATTTGGGTTTGAAAATTAATGTCAAGTGATCCATACAATTTCATTTAATTAGGGATTAGCCTCAACACCCTTAATTATGTCAATTATATATTGAGAGTCTTTGGATCACAGGAATTGTGTGACATTAGATGTAAATCATCATACAAATATAATAAAAATTCTTGTACGATTTGTTGTGGAAAAATTTGTTGGATTGACAAATGCAATTTAATTTTTGGAAACACATGTTGTGAAGTGTTTCATGTTGTTAGAAACACATATTGTGAAGTGTTTCATGTTGTTGGGCATTATTATTGATATATTGTTTCGAATTATTATATGTTAATTGTCTGCCAAAAGGGGGTTGTTACATATAATAATTTGGACAATTCCATGAAGAAATTATTAAAAAGATTACGTAATTTAAAAGTATTTATCTGCCCAAAGGAGATAAATTATTTTTAAATTGCATGTGGCATTATGGGAGTTGATTCTATAAATTATTTTTAAATTGCATCTGCCCAAACCTCATATACCTCCACTATTAAGTTGATTCTATAAAGCGGATTTGGAGTTTTTTTTCTTATATCTGTTTCTTTCTTAATAAATAATATACCGGTGAATAAGATACGTATCATATGGTTTTTCTGTTACACATACTGTCTTACATTGTCGCTAATCTCTGACAATTCTAGGATGCTGGATAAAAAGGTGCATTTAGTATTATGCTCCTCATATGGATCAAAACAATAACATGAATATTCAACTTTTGAAAATATTTTGATTTTTAAGGGTGATCAGTGCATGTTTTCAAGATATTGATGGTTAGTTTATCTTTGCAGACGACAAAAAAGGTCTCAATCTGGTGCGGATAGATAGATGGCGCCCTTTGAGTGTAAGTGATGGATATGATTTTGGAATCTTAGAAGTCACAATTCTGTATTTTATAAACTTCAATCCAATAAAGAGTGCATACTATAAATGTAAATAGTCCAGCTATTTTTTCATTTATTAGCTAGAAATTGACCAATATGTCCCCTGCTCCGCAGGCCACTGAATTAGATATCCGTATGCTTGAAGAATTAATGTCAACCAATTTTCTGCAACCGTCACAGTCGTGGATAACACAAATTGAGCAAAAATTCCTTGTTGAATTAGATGCAGGTAAATTTCTATGTTGGCTCCAAAGCCTTTCAAAAGATTTAAAAAGTGATTATTTTAGACAGAAATGTAATCACATAGAGGACTCATGCAAGCAATATATTATATCTTGGGGTTCACATACAATTTCTACACTGATTTTTTGTTTAAAACCTAAATTAAGATATTAAATTTTTATTCAATTTTGTAGGTGATTTTCTGTTCGAAGAAGTTACTTGCCATCATCAATCAAGCATAAGGGAGAATTTTTTGTCCTGCCATTTTTCAGAGGACGGAAGATTTTTGGCATGTGCTGGACATGGGAGGAAGGTAGTACTAGTTCAATTCAATGTGACAAAGTTTTTTTTTTTTTTGGTAACCCATTATTTAGAGCTTATTGTTTTTTTTTTTATAATGACAGGTTACAATTTGGAACAAGGAAGATTCTAATTTTACTACTTCACAAGAATCACATTCAGATGTGATCACAGAAGTTCGATTTCGTTCAAGTCACCGTTTAACTACGTGTGCTACATCTTCCTATGATCGAACTGTAAAAATATGGGATGCAGCCTATGTAAGCTGTTACTTTTTCATCTTATTATCTTTCTGTATCTGTATTTCGTAAGTAGGCATGCTGGACCAATAACTCTTGTTTGATATATATAGCCGCACATGGTATATGCCACTGTTAATGTGAATCTTGGCTCTCCAATATTGTCATTGGACTTCCACCCGAGAGATCGTGACCTTCTTTGCTGCTGCGATGCCAATGATTTTATTCAACTGTGGAATATATCTCTCTATGCTTACAGGTTGTGCTATTTTAAGGTGAGTTTTACACTTTTCACCAGCGTTGCCAAACTGCTTAATGAATAATTTCAAAATTAATGATCATCATGTAAAGAACCTTGGGATACACCTCCCTAAAAGCTAGCTCAAAGGGTGGAGTGTCCAAGGCCTTATAAAGGCTATATTAGTTGCCCATCCAATCAAAGTGAGACTATATATCTCAACACGCCCCCTCACACAAGAGCCTTTTAGGCTAGAAGGGTGGAAATTGCACAGGCCCATTTTTGGTTTACCTTTTGTGCTTTTTTTTTTTTTTAATTCCACTTTAAAGCGGGAGACGGTGAGGCTCTGATACCATGTGAAGAACTTTGGGATACACCACCCCAAAAGCTAGCTCAAAGGGTGGGAGTGCCCAAGGCCTTATAAACTCCACATTAGTTGCACATACAACCAATGTGGGACTATATATCTCAACATAAGGAGAATGACCAATATAGTTTTGTTTAAAATATATATTTTACTAAAATATTATAGTTTGGAAACTATTTTTTTAAGTAATATAAATTTGACCTTTTTATCATTTTTGATCTAGTGGACCTCTCGAACATGACACATGTCGTCACTATATGATTATTACGTGTTAAGTTTTTGAGTCCCATAGTTAAAGAAATTATTTTTTGTCAAATTAAAACCTTATGTCACACTACAACAGCAGCAATCGACTTATATAATAATAATAATATATATTAAAGGGAGGTACAAGACAAGTTAGATTCCAGCCTCAATTAGGGAAACTTTTGGCCGCAGCTTCAGGAAAGTTTATCAATATATTTGAAACAGAGAAGTACACAATCCGGAACAAACTCGAGGTTAATTTATCATCTTTCCTAGTTTCACTTGATTGAAATGTAGATTTTGCAACATAAATAATTAATATATAACATGACTGGATTTTCATTTACTAATAGGGACATAGCAAAGAAGTTATTTCGATTTGCTGGGATCAATCTGGAAACTACATTGCCTCAGTTAGTGAAGATGAGGCATGCTTCTGGTCTGCTGCCCCTGAAGGAGGTTTACCATATGTTTTGGCTTGCAAACACGGAAAATTTGAGTCGTGCATATTTCATCCTAGATATCCTAACCTCTTAATTATTTCTGGCCATAAGGTAAACTCTTCATGCATCCACTACGTATGTATTTGAGCATAAACGGTCTGAATAACTAATACATAGAAACTGATAAGATAATTTTTTCTAGAATTCATTGCAGTGCCTGGACTTTTGGATTCCCCAGAGAGGGTATTCATTGGACTTTCTTGATGATGGTGGGATATTTACTGGAGTAGCAACTTCACCCCAAACTCAAATGGTTGCCTCAGTTAGCCGTGATTGTGTGAAACTTTGGAAAACATGTTCTTAGGTGTAAATTTTCGTGACTTTTGTATGATTGAATTTCCTTCCCTACTACATTTTTTGGGTACAAGTTTACTTGCAGTCTTAGGAGAGAAAAAAACAAAAATTATAATGTTGTGCCGCAGACTAAGGCCAACCTTTACTTGCTAGACACATTTATGTTCTTATATTCAATACTTGAGATTTTTTTGGTACCTCATGCGCAGTTACTTATCAAATACAAGATTCCAATGTACCGAAGCTTCCAAATAACATTGTGAGGCATCGATTAAGAAAAATTAGCTTTGAGTTTTGGTGTACCTCAATGTTCAAGGTCACATAATTGTGGACCTACATAACATGGTATCTGACGTGTTTTATTCATCACTCTAACTGAAAAAAAATCCTTGAATGTTTGCATGAGACCCTAATTTTTTTATAAAACTCTATTATTAGAAAAGTCACGTTTTTCAATGAAATTTGTTGACCGAATAAAATCTGTTAAAGATATTAACGGATTTAGTGACGGAATAAAGAAAAAAAAGTCTTGGGACGGAAACTGATTTGGGGTGGGGTGTATTGGATTGAGATTTTAATAGATTATTTTTGAATAAAAAATATATTAATATTCAATTAGGATTTTAAAATATTGAAAAAAGTAACGTGGTATTCAATTAAGATTTTAAAAGATTATTTTAGAGTCTGTCAAATCCAGTAGTATTCTATCAGGATTTTAAACAAGGAAAAAAAATCTTGTGGTATTAAAAAATTTGATGATTTTAGTGGATTTTCTGTTAGTGTGAATTTTGTGAGACTTTTTAATGAGAAGTATAAATAAAATGTCACTCTCATAATCTCACCCTAACCTTTAAGATTTATTGAGATTTCTTTATTGCAGTGTATTCTTCTTCCTTTGAAGGGTAGACTGCTTGAAATCGAGTTCTGCCATGAGAGCTTCGTCAAAACTAAAAAATAACAGATTTTTTAGCGACTTTCATCACAAAAATAATAACCCAACAAGTTTCTAATCTAATCATCTCAAAAATAGCAGATTTTTTTAGAGCTTTTGAAAGTTTAAAAACGATTTTTCAAACTATGGGTCACGATTTTTCTTGGCACAAAAAAAATATGATTTTGTATTAAGAACAACAAAAAACAGTAGCAAAACAACATGGAAACAAAAAAACCCTCAAACCAATTTCGTCTTACATCAATGAAACAAGATCGATTTAAAGAAAGATTGAAACTTTCAAAATATGAACTCTGTTTCGTAACAATACATTCATGAACGAAATTCTTTCGCTATATGAAATGATTTCAAACAATTTTTGTGTCAATGGATCGCTAAAAACTTATTTTTCAAAATCAATTGAAAATAATTCGAGAAATTTTCATAATATTCATGTAATAAAACCCATAAATTCATATTACAAATTTTCTTAGAATAGTCAATGAAAATATGCATATGATATACGCTTAGAATACTCTCATAGCATAGAACAAAACCCCAAAGGTTTACAAAATCAATTGCAAAACGAAATTTTATTATGAACTTTAGGTTCTATGAGAAAATTTTGGATTATTTTAATAAATAAAACATTTGTGGGTCTTATAATCATATATGTATGTATAACAAATGAAGAAAATAATTTTCAACCCATTGGTTAAACCAAAGAGCACGAACGAGACTAGCATAGATATGTGAAAAGTTGCTACTTAGTAGGACATCAACTTACATCAAATTATTATTGATTGAGAAAATTATATTAGATTTTCTCACATCAATTTGATGCCTACTTCTATTATTAAGCAACTTGGAGTGGAAGTCTCTCCTACCACAATAACTCCTCGATTAGCTGATAGGTCACTTGCACACCATGATGGAAAAATAGAGAATAAATCAGTGAAAGTTCATAGGTTTATTTTATTTCATCTTAGACAAATCAGCCTCCGATTCTGCAGCAAATTTTAATCAATTTTGTCAAGGTAATTTTCAAAGATTCCAGATCTGGAAAGGTAATTTAGCTATCCATGCATTTGAGCTTAAAATTCATATATACATTCATGTTATCCATATTGATCTTACCAAATGTTCACAAAACTTTGAAACTAAATTCATAACACTAATTAAGAACAAACATAGATCTGAGATCCAAAATTAAAAGAAGAGTAGAAGAAGGAGAAATTCTAAATCTGAAGTGTATTCTTCACAACTCTGAAGCCCGATTCAAGAAAGCTTTAATTCTGAAGTAGATGAGTTAAACAAAATGAAAATGCATAGACAGTTTATAGAGAAAATGTTCGTTTTTCAAAGCTACTGGCGAAAAAAATGTAACAGTGTTTTCACTCTCATACAGTTATCCAGGCCCAAAAGTGACTCTAAGGGTGTATTTGGTACACGAGAAATTTTTTGGTGACCGGAAATCATTATTAATAGGAATTCAGTAGAAATTGAGTTTACTTAGAATCTTACGAAAGATGTGTTTGGTTCGCCAAAATATTACCGGGAATACTGGGTAAAAATTACTGATTTCATATTTGGTTTAGAACGAAATATGACTTGGAATATGAGGTTATTTTACAAAAATAACCCCAAACTATTTTTACTTTTGTAATTGATAGATTGGGTCTAGATTTTTATGTGTATTGGGGTATTTTTGTCTCAAAATTTATTGTTGTGTTTTCCCTTTACTTGGTATTCTGAATTACCATATTATTTTTGGTAATCTGAATAGTGACTTTTCTTTATAAATCAAATTACCGGTAATCCTTGAATATCCGGGAATCATAATTTATTCCTTCTACCAAACGTGGTAATTACATTTACCAAAGAAGGATTACCGGTAATCCTCTCCAAAAACTTGAACCAAACACCCCCTAAGGGGCATTTGGTTGATGAGAAATTTTTATGAATAATAGAGAAATGAGATTAATAGGAAAATGGTTGGAATATGAGTTTGACAGGAAAATGTAAAAAAAGTTATTTGGTTGGATAAAATTTTGATGAGAAATTAGGTAACTTTTATAAAGTCTATAGTTGGGTGTAGTAAAATATAGATGGAGAAATTAATTGATATTACGAAAATAACCTTGTATTTAAAAAAACATTCAATCAGTCATGCTGACCTTAACCCGTTAAAGAGGGGGGTATCCATTGCCAAAACTTGGTTACTATTTGATTCAAAACTTCGTCAATTGTCTACTGATGTCGATCAATGGTCATGTTTTTATTTAATTGGTGTGCCGCTTGTTAAGGTTTGTCTGTATTTAGACAGAATAGGAATCCAGAAAGCAATATATATATATATATATATATATATATATATATATATATATATATATATATATATAAAACCAAAGTGTGATTAACTGAAAATGCCACTGAAGGTGAAAAGACAACTTATTTTTCAACTAAGTAGGTGCCTTGTGAGAAAGATGCATGTTTAACATAAATAAATTCAGTTGATTCCACACCCATATGGTGATGGCTGCCGAGAAGACACAAATGACAAGTCGGACCAATTGGCATGGCAGCAGACAAAGTTGTTGATGCTTACGTAATAGATGTAAATGGTAAGATTCTTGATAGAAAATCAATGGGAGAAGATGTATTTTGGGCCATTACAGGATTGGAGGATAAAGATTGTGCATAGTATTGAAATTATAAACATTCACCCTGTCAGAATATGAGTTCTGGAAAAAGTATATTTCTATTTCACTGTTTTCACCTCTTAAATGAGGGATATTTATATAAGAGACTCAACAATCAAATACATAAAAATAGGAAACTATTCTAACAACCTAACAGTAATCCTAATGATAATCAACAAATCAATCAGAATAAATTCTGTTAACAAACAAATCATTCCTATCTCTAAGTAACTGTAATTCAAATTTAATTTCTATTTTCAACACACCCATAACACAGTTGCCAAAATGCATCAATCTGATGTCCTCTGCATTATGGTCTGGCTGTCTATTGTCATCATCCTTTGGAGGCAATGCTGTCAATCTGATTGAAATTTTTTCAAGATACAAATAAACTAAAGCCTTCAATGACTCCAAAGCAGTCCACATTGTATGACAGTGCATCCTTCGTACCATCACCCATGCACTGTCAAACCAAAGAATTAATAAATCAAGTTAAGCACATTATTGAAGGCTTATCAACACCTCTTAGCAGAAACATATAATGGACATATGCATATACCAGGAAGTATATATCCAATGCTATTACTCAAACCTGACATGGATTGGAAGATTCAAATAAGCAGTCCCCAATGAGTTGGAAATCGGTACAGCCATCTGACTTGCAAATACAGGCAAATACAGCCATCTGACTTGCAAATTCTTGGGTGAGCATACTAGAGATCGTTAGTTGTTTGTTGATTCCACATACACAGGCATGCAATTAAAACTTGATATCCTTTTTCTGTTTCAACTTAGTCAAACCCTCGAATAATGTATCTTTTCATCTATGGTCTACTAGATTTATTAAGGACTCGATACAATTCAAGAAATTTTTGTTGTAACTGGCATGCCCTGTTTTCCTTTTATTCTAAACTCTTACATTTTTTAAACAAAAAAGAGGAGAAGGGATCCATTGTCTTTATGACCCCTGAAGTTCTACCGTCAACTTGAGGCAAAATTTTCATAATATGTGAAACTGCTCTTCAAACTCGCCTAGAAAAGATTCATAATTGAATCATAAAATGGAATTTGTCATAAACATCATTTTGCTTTGAACATTCAAGGAGTGTGATGTGGGCTTCCAACATTCTTCATGCATATGTTTAACTGCCCCAAAATAAATATTCTTTTTTGGACACTGAAGTCATGCTTCCCTTTTTTAATTTTTTATTTTTCCCACCTTAGTCATTAAGCACCTCCACTGGGTAAATGATTTTCTTATCTTAATTCAGAAAAAGGCAAACACATTATGGTTTTTCATCATGAGGGGAAGGAGAATAATCAGTCAGCTCTTTAGCCAAATCATTCAAATTTTTAAAAAAACACAAATATGAAGAC